GGGTAACGGCTGTGAGCGGTGGCGAGAAACCGCCCGGGCCGGGGCTCGGCTCTCCCAGGCGGTGGTCGAGCAGCGGAGACAAACCCGCAGGCGCCTCCGTCCCTCTCGCTTCCTCCCAGCGGCAGCGGGGCGGCGGGCGGGTGGGCAACGCTGGCTCCTGATCCGCGAGGTGGCAGCGGCAGCGACGACTCAAACGACGGCTGCAGACGCTTCGCTGAGACTGAGCCGAGAAGAGCCGAATCATCGGAAGGAAAGCTGCTCTCCCCTCAGCCAATCAGCGCTTGCCCGGGTGACTCCCGCCCGCCTCTCCGCGCCTCTCCCCAGCAACCCGCAGACCACAGCCAATCAGGAAACTCGCTTGCGGCCAGGCTCCCGCCTCAGGGCTGCAACACGCCTAGTAACGCCACGTTAACTGGCTGCAACGCTATGCTTCCTCGACGGATTGGGATTCTCGGCCAATCAGCGAAAGGAATAGAGCGAGCTGGACTAGCGAAGGGAGGGCCTTTAAGCCCTCAGAGGCGGACTCTCCCGCTTGGCTCCAGTTCATTGGCTCCGGAGTTTATCCTCCTGGAAGAACCTGGCACAATGGGCTAAACCCTTGTATTAGTGTAGTCCTGTTGTAGTGATAACGAACACACCCATCTTCTCCCAAAACCTGGAGATCCTCCAAGACTCCTTCATCATCCTAATCCTTCTCCTTGCTCCTTCAAAACGCTGGCTCCAACCACCCCTACTCTGGACCCTTTGACTAACGCCCCAGCTCGTAATCCACTCTACCCTATTGTCATCTCACTCTCTGGTAACTCTAATCCCACGGTTTTGCAGTTTGTCAGCGCTTGGGGGTGCACGCTCCACCTACAACAGGGTGTTAATGACTGGAAGAGGGATGGCACTCAAATTCGGAGAGGTCAAAGGCCAGTCACCGAACACACAGATTCAACAGAGCCCAAATCAGCAAGAAAATTGCATACTAGGACTTGAGGTCCTTGGCCCAAAATGACAGCTGGCCCTGACTGTAATCAGGACAGCTTTTGGTAGCATGCTGACTCAATTCACCCTTCGCCCTCTACCCACAGAGACACATTTGCCTGAGGTAGCTCCAGTTTCTAGAATTTGGGATTAAGGAGGGAGTAGGGAGTCACTCTGAGAGACCAAGAGGTCTGCCTGTCCCTATTAAGTATCAAGTACTCACCCTTGTCCTAAGAAGCCTGTCTTAGACCACCCTTCAGACCTAACTATACTCACTGTCACCTAGCACTGTATCAAAGTTTTTCGGGCTCTGCTTTTAGGCAATAGGAAGGACTAAAGTCGTTGCTTCCTGAGTAAGGATTCCTGTAGCACTTTCGTCAAACCCAGACCTCACACTCATAAGGTAGATGATGTTGAAAGAAGGCATCTTAGATAACCAGCACTTAACCAGGCAGCCATGAACCTTCCCACTCAAGTATATGTAGTGGACAGACAAGAAATAAATATGAGATTTTATCCAACACTAGAAAAGGGAAAACAGAATAAAAGGTGTCACAAGCAAAGTCAATAACTTGGTAGTGGCAAAGAGTGTTTTCTCCAAAACCAGAATGGTAGTACCTAGGACAAATTTTGTAGGACTACCACCAATCTCACCAGTGCAAGCATCATATAGGCATGGTCAGCTCCAGTCACATTCCCCAAGGATAGGAAGGCAGAAAGCCCTCCCCACGGGGCAGGGTGGGGGGCTGGGAGGGGGGATCCCAGCTCAAGCTCTTGGAAATGCAGCAGCTACAGGTCACAAGGCTCCAGCAGAGATGTCTGAAACTCTTCAAGGAGTGTTTCACGCTCAGAGGGATGGATCCAGTTCAAGTAGGTTTCTAGGTACAGGGGGAGAGACCTGGAGAGAGAGAAGGTTGATGTCTAGGAGTGAACAACTGGCGGAAGGTTGGGCAGCCATTCCCTCCCTTTCACTCCTCACCACCATCAATAGGTCCAAGGACTCTAGGACTCCAACTGCACCTCAGCCCCAAGTCAGTTAGCATCAGTCTCACCATGTAGCTGCTTCCTGTGGCAGCTTAGTTTGGGCTTCCATCTTCCACCAGAGAGCAGTGGCCTCATCCTTCCGATCCAGCCGCCTCAGAGTCTGAAGCAGGTGAAAGGAAGCGTCTTGATTACCTGTAGCCCCCCGCAGAGTACAGAGTCTTAGAACTTCATATAGCCTTAGGTATCATGTTATAAAAAACAGAAACTGAGGCCTAAAGAGGGAAAGTATTTCCTGCCTACACTCACACATGGAAGCAGGGGTAGACCATTCGTAATCATTCCTATCCTAGGGTCCATTGTTTGCCCAGTACCAAGGGATCAGCTGACCCTGCTCCTACCCACCTAGCAGTCACAGTCTGTGTGTCTGAGAACACTGGGGAGACCAGGGATCTCTTGGGACCCCTGCATACACATTTGTATATGTTTGTATGTGGACACCTGGGTATATCCCTAGACGTACAGTGCAATCTCATTCACCCCTCCTGTCTGAAAACACCACCATTATACTTATGCCCAACTACCTCTTCTGTGGGCCTCTCTGTTCTTGCACATCTGTGTCATAGTTGATATCATGCAAGTATACATACCTGGGCACACCTGTACACTGAGGAGGAAGTCCTGTAGAGCTTTGGTATCCTGACCACTGGCTACCCATTCCAGTCCACGACTAATCAGAGCGGCTGACCGAAGTTGCTGCCGTACCACATCTGACTTACACCCATGCTCACAGCTGGAAGATGCACCTGGGGACCATTCTCAAAGTCAAGAAGTGCCTTCCCAGTCTCACAGTAACCAAAACCCCAAACACTCCTCTCTCTCTTCTTGGATCCAGAGTCCCCTTCTCTTAAGTCTCTTGGTGGGTTGGAATACATGAAAGGGAATCCACATCTACCACTACCACTTCCAGGAAAGAGGAAACATTGAGTTTAGTGAAAGACTCTATCACCTTGTTCTTTGTCCTCAAGTGTGACCCGGAAAAGCAGCTCAAGGCACCTGAAGTAGGGCATGGAATGGAGTGAAGAAGAATCAGTCTCAGAAACTCTGGGGTGAATAGGTGAAAATGGAGCTTACCAACTCAGATCCCAATCAGAAAATCATCCCTCTATACCTCCCCTGGGACCCTGGCTCACCGGCTAAATTCACTAACTGCCTCTTTTTGGGCCCTCAGTTGTACCCAGGCCTGGCCCTGAAGCAGGTGGGTGGCAGAGACCCAGAGTGGGCACTGTGGCAGTTCCTTGGTTCCTTTTCTGGCATCTTCCCACAGCTGGGACATCTTGGGTAGTAGAGATGATGTGCGGCCGAGCAACTCCTCACATATGGTCAAAGCATCCTGGGCTCGGCCTGCCTGGATCAGTGCTGCTGCCGCCTCCAAAAACAGTTCAGGCATACAGGGCCCTGGGGGGCAGGGAGGTGGAGAGAACTGGGGTGGGAGGAAGGAGGCAGTGTCTTAAAGAGGCATGAGCCACCCCAACCTCTTCACTAGGCTCTGGTACTGTGCATGCCTGGCCCCCCAGTTTGGACAGATAAAATAATGGAGGTAAAAACAGAAAATAGCAGTCCTGCTCTACTTCAAAGAGGACTCCAACCCTTCCATTCCATTGCAGAGAAGCGTGAAGATACACCCACCCTTGGCTCCGAGTCATCCAGCAACAGGGCCAGCAGATCCAAGTAATGTTCTGCAGCGTCTTCTGCCCTGAGAAGTCACAGCCATGAACCTCACCCTAAGCCCTAGCAGGATTCCCCAAGGGTTCCAGTGAGAAGGTTCTCTCTTAGCTATAGAGGGATGCTCATGGTCTTGAGGAATAGCAGGGAGAATAGGGTCTTGGGGCTCCAACTCTGGCTCACTATGAATCTGCCCCTGTTACAGAATAGATTGAGGAGAGATTTCAGAATTTCAAAGATGGGGGTGGTCAGTGCCTGGGTGAAGAGTCATCAGTCGAGGTCTAGCAGCAAAGTAGGAGACTGAGGAGCGGGGACCTTTATCCTGCCACTGCCTCATTCGTCCTCCCACTCACAAGAACAAAAGCAGTGTCACACCCTAGGGAGGCATCAGATGCAGGAAAAGGAACTCAGGTGAAAAGGGGGACCCTCACCTCCCCGTCTGTAGGCATCGGCTTGCTAGCAGGTGCTTGGCCTGGCCCTGTGTGCCACAGTGAAGGGGCGAGTCTGGGTCAGGTGGTGGGAGTAGCAATTCTACCTCAATGAGAAGCTGGGGGGCTTTGGAGTTGAGGGGGACACCCAAGGCCTAAAAGAGACAGAAAGAAAAGTATCTAAAATCTTTAGGAAGCATGCTTCTTTATACTTGGATCTTGATTCACATGTTACCCCAATACAAGCACCTTAGCAGTGCTCCACCCCACATCTGGCATACTTGGCAGCTCCATACCTCAACCAGCAGCTCTAGACTCTCCAGTTCTGCTGCTGTGTCCCCCAGTTGCTGATATAGCCTGGAGGCCTCCAGAAGTGGGGGACCACAGGCTGATCCCACTTTTAGGGCTGCAAGCAAGTACAGCAACGCTCTCTGTGGATTTCCCTAGAGGAGTGGGAGAACACAGGCCTCAGCTACCTTTACAAAGCAAAAAGCTATTCATGATGTCTGCGGCTTCCCCCAACCATCCTAGGACTGTCTTTACCATCTTACGGAGACAGGTCCCCAGTGCTGTGTACACCTGGACCAACACAGACCGTGGACACAGAGTTGAGGTTGCTTCATGCAGGCTTCTCAGAGCCTTGGGTAGGTTCCCTGTGATCAGCTCCTGGAGACCTGAGGACAGGGATCATGAAGGAGAACAAGAGCCCAAGAAGCTCCATGGTGCTGAATGAGACATGACAGAGACAGCATGGGTCCTAAGGACACCTCAAAGGAGGAAGGGATGAGTCAGGTTGATAGCTGACCTTGGCGGTAGGCAAATGCTGTCACAAGGACATCCTTCAATCCCCGGGCATCCTGCAGGATCAGTGGAGCATCTAGTTCCTCAGATGGGGGGTTCCAAGTTTTTAGAAGCAACAGCAGATCCTCAGAGGCTCCAGTCTAGGGAAAGGACAACCAGAGGCTCCAAGACAGTAACCATCCCTTCTTCTCCTACCTCAGTCTATCCTGGCTAGACCTTCAGCTCAAGGGTCTTCCTGATTCCTGTTCCCTCAATTCTAAGAGACAGAGAGATACATGTGGGGTAAGGATAAAGAGACAACAAAAACCTGGAACAGTGATGATCTATTCTAGTATATTCCTCACTCAGGATAAACCCAAGAGGACATGAGACAATGGCCATATTTGAGTTACCAATAAGAAAACAAAGGCTGAGATGTGACTTTAGCAATGTCACCAGAGCCCTAACCTTACCCAAATTCATTAAGCTGCTTTTTTTTTTTTTTAAGTCGGCGTCTCATTCTGTTGCCCAGTCTAGAGCACACGGTCACCACAGCATCAACCTGCTGGCCTGCTGGGTTCAGGCAATCCTCTCGCCTCTGCCTCCCAGAGTGCCTCCCAGAGTGCATTACAGGCATGAACCACCGATCCTGGTTTACTAAGCTATCTTTTTTTTAATTGGAGTCTCACTCTGTCGCCCAGGCTGGAGGGCAGTGGCACGTTCCCAGACACTGCAGCCTCAACCTGCTGGGCTTAGGTGATCCTTCCGCCTCAGCCTTCCAAGTAGCTGGAACTACAGGCATGCACCATCACGTCCTTTTTTGATTTATTGCTACTTTTTTGATTTATTGTAGAGATGAGGTCCCGTCAATTTGACCAGGCTGATCTCGAACCCATGGGCTCAGGTAGTCCTCTCACCTCAGCCTCATAAAGTGCTGGGATTATAGGCGTGAGTCACCACGCTAGGCCTCTAAGCTATTTTTAAAAACACTCCCAAGAGAATCTCACTAATGAGGGACCAACCAAGGCAAGGTCACCCAAGAGTGCCTGAGAGAACCCAGGTTTTCTACCACCAATCCAGCAGTCTTTCCAGTACATGATAATGCTACTGCAGCTGGGAAGAAGAGAGGGAAGAGGAAGGATGATACCCTCAGCCCTGGGTCGCTTCCTCCATTACCTGGCTGCCATTCAGGGCCTGCAGCAGCAAGGCCAAGTCCCCAAGATGGTCGGTGCTCAGCCAGAGGGCAGCCTGCAGGCTAGCCAGGTGATGTACAGCAGGAAGCAGCTCCGGCAGACAAGAGGAAGCACGGAGGACAGAGTCCCACAGCTCCCTGAGCCCCCATTGCAACGTGGGCCCCAGCTGCTCCTGGGTCTCCAGCACTGTAGAGCACAAATACACACACACATAACGGAGGTGGGCCCTCATCCCCCACACTCTCTGCCTTTCCTCTTCTGCAGGAGCCCAAAGGTCACAATAATAACTTCAACCTGCTCTAAGGAACACATGGAGATTCAGAAAAGGGCAGTTCTCTTCATGGAGGGGACAGATTTTGTTGATCCTCCTATCCCCTCACAAGGTTTTAAACCCATACTGAAACTAGCTGAGTCATAGGAGTCAATCTCTGGCCCTCACCTCTCTCTAGGCCCCGCTGGATATCCTGGGCCTGATCTTCAGTGAAACCCTGGGCCAGGCTTGCCTTCAGGATAATGAAGTTGCAGATGACAGTCAGCTCCAAGGAGAGAACAGGAACAGCTGCAGGGATCCCTGGAGCAACAAATGGGGGTCTCACAGACTGCTCCCACATGGAAGATTCTCCAAATAAGATCTCAACCTAGATATCACCCCACTCCAACCAAAATGGCCTCAATAAAGAACCCACTCACTAGACAGAGAGTAGCAAAAGGCAGAAAGTTCTCCAAATCAGGCCATTCTGGAAACCACTTTTCTTTTACTTTTTTTTCGATTTGGAGTCTCACTCTGTCAGCGGCACACTGGCATACAGTGGCACACTGCGTGGTGAGTAGTGGCACACTGCTCACTGCCACCGCAGCCTCAACCTGCTGGCCTCAGGCAATCCTTCCACATCAGCCTTCCAAGTAGATGGAACCACAGGCACCTGCCACTACGCCCGGCTAATTTTTTTGATTTATTGTACAGACGAGGTCTGGCCAAGTTGCCCAGGCTGGTCTCGAACCCCTGGGCTCAGGCAATCCTCTCCTCTCTGCCGCTCAAAGTGCTGGGATTTACAGGCGTGAGCCACCAAGCCCAGCCTAGAAACCACTTTTCAAATAATGCTGTGTGTTTGTAAAGAGGAAGGGGTTTTGCAGCCACGGTGGTTCATGCCTGTAATCTCAGTACTTTGGGAGGCAGGGGCAAGAGGATTGCCTGAGCCCAGAGACTCGAGACCAGCCTGGGCAACTTGGCCAGACCTCGTCTCTACAATAAATTAAAAACACACACCTGTGGTTCCAGCTACTTGGAAGGCTGAGGCGGAAGGATCACCTGAGCCCAGCAGGCCAAGGCTACGGTGGTGGTGAGGTGAGCAGAGTGCCACTGCACTTCAGCCTGGGCGACAGAGTAAGGCTCCTACTCAACAACAACAACAACAAAAATAGAGGAGGGGGATTTGCCTGGACAAAGATGATTCCATCCCAGTCCCCTCTGTGCCTTAAACAGGATTCCCTGCCCTCTTAGTAATCATCTCAATCCCAGAAATGCAGTAGAGGAACTGGTCTCTGGCTGTGAAGGAGAGGAACTGACCGTCCTAGGGAGGCCCCTGATTACCTTGCAGAGTACAGATGAGCCCCTTGAGCCCTTCCAGTGCATCTTGAGCCAACTGCTGTCGCCTCAGAGACAGACCAGAGTCCTGAGCCATCTGCCAAAGGTGGGAGGGAGTGTCACTAAGGATCCTTCCTTTTCTCTCCTCTTGCAGCAGTGGCAAGAGATGCATTCTCCAGTCATTCCTGGCTCTTTGGTCAACTCCTTCCCACCGGTTGGGGTAAATCCACTGCAAACCCGCTCTCTGAGACCTTGGAGCTGCAAAGCGAGGGTCCCAGCAACCGTGTTACCTTGGCCTGTCGAACGAACCGGTCATTTTGTTCCCTCCATAAGTCCAGGCAGCCGGAATCCGGAAGGGTCTGGCGGGACATGGTGGCCGAAGCTGGGCCCGGACACCTGCAGGGGTCTTCCGAAGGGGGAAGCGGGGCCGCCGAAGCCCCTACACTATCGGAGAGGGGCCCGTGCATTCCCGCACCCCGCCGGCCTCCCCAGCGCCCCTCGGGGTCCCAGCCCGGCCGGCCCAGCCCTTCCAGAGAAGCTCTCTCCTCACTGCCCGCCCCGGTCCCAATGTCGCCTCTGGTTGGTCGGGCCAGCAAAACTCGCGGCTGCGGTTGGTCCTCTTCAAGGGTTAGTTCTCGAGGGAAACTCGCAGAAGAAGCGAGTCTGACCCATCAGAGAGGTAGGCTGCGGGACTTCGTCGGCGAGCGGGGAGAACCGCTGGCCCCTCGCCGGAGCACAGTCTTGGGGGAAGGATTGGCGGCAGCGCGCCTCGGTACCGGAGTCCGTGGCTCTGCACTTCCTGGCAGCGACACCCGGGAGTAGCCTGGGCTTCCCTGGCCGCCGGAGGTCGGCCCGCGAGGTGCATGCTGGGAGTCGTAGTACCGCCGAGCGCGGTGATGACCCGCACAGTCCACGCCCGCAGTGTCTCCAAAATGCACTGAGTAGGCACCAAGGCCCTCCGGCATTGTGCCATCCGTTATCTGCTAGCGCGCCACTACCTGCGCAACCACGTGCAGTCTGCCTGCTGACGGCCTGGCTCTGTGCTTGTACAGCCTGCATTGCCCAAAGATACCTGCCAATCCTTTCAACAAATGGAGAGGAGAATTGGATGCCAGTATGCAAAAGAGAGAGAGAGAAACCCGACTACTGCAGGGCGCGGTGACTCACGCCTGTAATCCCAGCACTTTGGGAGGCAGAGGGGAGAAGATTGCCTGAGACCAGGGGTTCGAGGCCAGCTTGGACAACTTGGCACGACCTCGTCTCTACAATAAATCAAAAGATTAGCCCAGTGTGGTGGCCTGCGCCTGTAGTTCCAGCTACTTGGAAGGCTGTGGCTGAAGGATCACCTGAGCTCAGCAGGTCGAAGCTGCGGTGGCCATGAGCCTGCCACTGCACTCCAGCCTAGGCGACAGATTGAGGCATGGTGGCTCAGCCTGGAATCCCAGCACTTTGAGAGGCTGAGGCGAGAAGATTTCCTGAGCCCGGGGGTTCGGGACCAGCCCGGGGAACTTGGTGAGATCTCATCTCTACAATAAATCATAAAATTAGCTAGGCGTGGTAGTGGACACCTGTAGTTCCGGCTACTTGGAAGGCTGAGGCAGAAGGACCTCCTGAGCCCAGCAGGTCGAGGCTGCAGTGAGCAGGAGCCTGCCACTGCACTCCAGCCTGGCCAACAGAGTGAGACTCCAACTCAAAAAAACAAAACAAAACAAAAACTCGACTCCACATACATCAAGTAAACTCAAATTGGATTGCAAACTCAATATAGGAGCCAAATATATAGTTTATAAAAGGCTGGGCATGGTGGCTCACACCTGTAATCCTAGCACTTTGTGAGACTGAGGCAGAAGGATCACTTGTGTCCAGGAGCTCAAGAGCAGCCTGGGCAACATAGTGAGACCTGGTCTCTACAAAAAAAAAAATCAAAAAATTAGTCGGGAGTGGTGGCACATGCCTCTAGTCCCAGCTACTCAGGAGGCTGAGGCAGGAGGATCACCAGGGCCCAGGAGGTCAAAGCTGCAGTGAACCATGATCATGCCACTGAAATCCAGGCTGGGCAACAAAGTGAGACCCTAACTCAAACACACATACACACACAGAAAGAAAGAAAACAGTTTGGTAGGTTTTGTTGTTTTTTTTTTTGAGGAGTCTCACTCTGTCGCCCAGATTGGAGTGCAGTGGCACACTCACTGCCACCGCAGCCTCAACCTGCTGGGCTCAGGTGATCCTCCCGCCTCAGCATCTGGAACTACAGGTATGCACCACCACGCCCAGCTAATTTTCTGATTTATTGTAGAGACAAGTTCTCGCCAAGTTGCCCAGGCTGGTCTTGAACCCGTGGGCTCTGGAAATGCTCTCACCTCTGCTTCCCAAAGTGCTGGGAATACAGGCGTGAGCTCCCATGTCCAGCTTATTTATTTATTTTTTTATTGTAGAAACAAAGTCTCGCCAAGTTGCTCAGCTTGGTCTTGAACCCCTGCTCAGGCAATCCTCTCACCTCTGCCTCCCAAAGTTCTGGGATTACAGGCATGAGCCACTGCAGTTTGGCAGTTTCTAAAAAAGTGTTTCATAAATTTACCATATGAGGCCATTGTTTTACTAAACTCTGGTGTGGCCATGTGCTCGTTGAGCTATGGCTGCTGCTGTGTTTTCTAAGCCTTGGTCCCCTCTCCTACCTTGGAGATGTGAATCTCCTCTCTCTTCTCTCTCTCTAATTTACTTGCTAAATAAACTATATTTTCTAATCTAAAAAAAAAAAAATTACCATATGATCCAGCAATTTCACTCCAAAGAATCCTCCCAAGGGAAATGAAAACATGTGTCCACACCAAGACTTGTCTGAAAATGTTCATAACAGCTAAAAACGTTCACAATAGCTAAAAACTTAAAACAATCCAAATGTCCATCAGTTGGTCGTAGGCAGTGATTCAGCAATGAAAAGGAGCAAAACAGTGCACCAGCATGGATGCAAAAGACAAACTTACAAAGACCAAAAGCATATCATTGGTCATGGGTGGATCATGGGTTTGAGTCAGGGCCTCATTCCGTTGCCCAGGCTGGAGTACAGTGGCACGCTCAGTGCAGCCTTGACCTCCCGGGCCCAGACTATCCTCCTGCCTCAGCCATAGGGATTCACTGTAAACAAAGTGTAGGGAATTTTGGGGGTGATGGAAATGTTCTAAAACTAAATTGTGGCACTTGGCAATAAATTCTTTTTTTTTTTTGAGTTGGCATCTCACTGTGTCACCCAGGCTGGAGTGCACTGGCATGCTACCACAGCCTCAACCTGCTGGGTTCAGGTGATCCTTCAGCCTTAGCCTTCCAAGTAGCTAGAACTACAGGCACGCACTACCACGCCCGGCTAATCTGTTGATTTATTGTATTGACAAGGTCTTGCCAAGTTGCCCAAGCTGGTCTTGAACTCATGGGCTCAGACATCCCTCTAACCTCAGCTTCCCAAAGTGCTGGAATTATAGACGCAAGCCACCACGCCCGGCCGGCAATAAATTCTTACATATGACACCAAAAGAATGAAGAGCAAAATTAAAAAATAGGTTGAATTGGACTTCATAAAAATTAAAAATTTTGTGAATCAAAGGACTATCAAGAAAATAAATGGTTTGGCACAGTAGCTCAGGCCTGTAATCCAAGAACTTTGAGAGGCAGAAGCAGCAGGTTCACTTGAGGCTAAGAGTTTGAGACCATCCTGGGCAACATAGCAAAATCCTGTCTCTAAAAAAAAAAATTAGCTACACATGTTAGTGAGCCCCTGTAGTTCCCAGCTACTCAGGAAACTGAGGCAGGAGGCTCACTTGAGCTCAGGAGCTTGAAAGCTTGAGGTTATAGTGAGCTGTAATTGTGCCACTGCACTCCAGCCTGGGCAACAGAGTGAGACCCTGTCTCCAAAAAAAGAAAAGAAAATGAAAAGACAACCCACAGAATGGAGAAAATATTTGTAAATCTTATATCTGATAAGGGACTATATCTATATCTAGCTTATATAAAGAATGCTTACAACTTCATAAGAAGAACACAAATAACCCAATTAAAAACAGGCAAAGGACCTGAACGGACATTTTTCCAATAAGCACAAGAAAAGATACTCAGCATCATTAGTCATCCAGGAAATGCAAACCAAAAACCACAAGGAGATATTACTTCACAACCACTAGGATGGGTAGAATCAAAGACAGGTGATAACAAATGTTGACATGAATGTGAAGAAATAATTACCTATATCAACTGCTGGTGGGAATGTAAAATGGTACAACAACTTTGGAAAACAGAGTGACAGATTAAACAGAGTTACCAAAGGAATCAGCAATTCCACAATATACCAATAGGTCCAAGAGAAATTAAAACATATGTCAAAACAAAGATGTGTACACAAATGTTTATAACAGCCTTTCCTACTAACCAAAAGGTGGAAACCCAAATGTCTATCAATGGATGAATGAAGCCAGGCTTGGTGGCTCATGCCTATAATCCCAGTGGGGAAAATGCTGGCGCTCAGGAGCTCAAGACCATTTTGGGCATCAAAGCGAGACCTCATCTCTACAGAAATACAAAAAAATTAGCCAGGGGTGGTAGCTTGAGCCCAGGAAGTCAAGGCAGTGGTAAGCCAGGATCATACCACTGCACTCCAGCCTGGGTGGCAGAATGAGAACCCAACTCAAAAAACAAAAAAGATTAAGGCAGGGCATGATGGTTCACGCTATAATCCCAGCACTGGGGGAAGCCGAGGTGAGAAGATTGCCTGAGCTCAGGAGTTCGAGCCTGGGCAACTTGGTGAGACCTTGTCTCTACAATAAATCAAAAAATAAGCCAGGCCTGGTAGTGCATGCCTATAGTTCCAGCTACTCAGAAGGCTGAGGCAGATGGACTACCTGAGCCCAGCAGGTCAAGACTGTGGTAGCAGTGATCATTCAACTGCACTTCAGCCTGGGTGACAGAGTGAGACTCTGACTCCAAAAAAAAAAGGATGAATGGATAAACAAAATGTAGCATATCCACGCAATGGAATATTACATGGCCATAAAAAAGAGCAAAGTACCAACACAAGCTGCAACACAGATGAACTTTGAAAGCATTAGGCTGAGTGAAAAACCAGACAGAAAGGGCACTATTGTATGATCCCATTTATATGAAACATCCAGAATAGGCAAATCTGTAAAGACAGAAAGCAGGTTGGTGGTACCAAGGGTTAAGGGGGGAAGAGAGGGAGTAACTGCTTAATCGGTACAGGGTTGGTTTTTGAGGTGATGAAAATGATCTGGAATTGATGGTGATGTTTGCACAACACTGTGAATATACTAAGAGCCAGAATTATATACTTTAAAATGGTGAATTTTGTTATATGAACTGTACCTCAATTTTAAAAAAGAAAAAGAACAAATCCTGAAAATATGCTAACTGAAAGATGCCAGTCACAAAAGACCACATATTATGAGATCCTATTTCTATGCAACGGACAGAATATTGTGGTACATATACATATACATGATGGAGTATTATGCAGCCATAAAGAAGCACAAAATTATGAACTTTGCAGCAACTTGGATGGACTTAGAATCTATAATACTGAGTGATGTATCACAGAAACAAAGAACTGAGTATCACATGTTCTTGCTTATAAGTGGACCTTGAACAACTACCCT